AGAGCACGACTTTTGCCAGGCGCTTTAAGCTGTAGCGGGTGCTTCGGCCCCAACCCGCGGGACCTACAGGGTGCGCAATGTGGGTCGCAGTCACAGTCGCAGTCGCAATCATAGGCGGCCAGTGGCTTATGGCGAGGAAGTTTGAGTGTAACCTTTCGCCCAGCAGTTCCTGTAGTGGTAAACCAGGCACTTTTTCGACGTGTTGGCTGCGAGTTAGGGCAGGAGGTCCCATGCGCTGCTGCGTTCGAGGCTCTTGTTCAGGCCCAGGACCGTCCGGAGGTGCAGCTCCTCCTGGAACGGGCTTTGTGGCCTCTTCCGAGATCTGACTGAAGGTCCCCCGCTCAGGACCAGATGTTTTTTCATCGGCATTCTGGTCCTGGGGTTTGGATTGTTCGGGAGGTTTTCCTGGATGGGTTGTCTTTTGAGTCTCAGTGGGAAGATTTGTGCGGCAAAGCTTGGGAGGTTGTCACTCTCTGCAATGAGGAGCCGCTCGGTGTCGAAGATATGTTTCCGCAGCTGCTCCCGAGAAGTCATGGATATTGGCGGCCCGAGTTGGAGGCTATGGTTTTTGCGCTTCAGAAGGTCATCCCGCCAGTACCAAGCAGTGACTGATTCTGATCTTCTGCTTGTCGGAATGACAGAGCGTGGTGAGCAGGCAACCACCTGCCACTCGTCAGCGTGGGCTTGCAGGTGGGACGTTCTTTCGAGGCTCTAGGGGGAGTTTGGCGGCCGGTGCGAAGGAGGCCTTTCTCCCCGCACAGGTCAAGAGCCACTGCGCCGTGCCCGGCGTCGATCGAGGTAGGATCAGTCGCAATGACTGGTTTGGCAATCTCCATGCTGATGTCTGGACCACGTTTGCTGGCCGCCACACGCTTGCGCCAAGTGGCGTGCGCGCGCGGCTGTTGAAGGCTGAGCAGGTTGTGGAGCGTGTCGGCCACAAGATCGGCCTCGTGGGAGAGCACGAGGATGCGCGAGACACTGCGCATGTTGCGCGGCGAATGCGCAGCACTCCCAATCCTGTCCTCCACATCGTGGTCCCCCCCTCGTGCACGACTTGTGCGGGCCTGCCTCCCGCCGCTGGTGCGCCCGCTGCCGCCTCGTGGCCCTCCCCAAAGACGTACAGTAGCACGTTCGAGAGCCGCGTCCTCGAGGCCAACCGCTGGCTGCGGGAGGAAGGGCTGGGTGGGGCGGAAGGAGCACACGCTTGCTCGTCACACAGTCGATCACAGTTTGCTCGAGCGTTCGCACCCATTCGTGGCCTGCCTCGGATGCGGGGCTCGCGGGTCGAAGCAGCTCAAAGGATGTTTGAAGGGCTGTGGCCGTCCGGGGACCCGCGTAGCAAAGCTCTGCGTTGGTTGTCCTGTGGGTTGTCGCCTCGGGTCCTGAGAACCGAGGTTCCTGCTCAGTTGGTGCGTTTGAACTGTTGGGCGACGACGTCCTTCGTGTTGCCCTCAGGCGGGGACCCGCGGCTTCGGGAAGATGAGTTGGATCAGGAGGAGGAAGAGGATGGGGAAGGAAGAGGGAAGGAGGACGAAGGGGATTCGGGAGGGGGGAAGGACGAGGAGGGGGAAGGGCGGGGCGCGCAGGGCAGGGGAAGGAGGAGGCGGGGGGAGGAGGGACCAGAGGGGGAAGTGGGGAGAGGGCCGGAAGAGGCAGTGGATTTATCGGGGGTGGAGGCCCGCCCCGCCGGGCGGCAGTGCAGCGGGAGCCTCCTCCCTCCTCCCTCCTCCCTCCTCCCTCCTCCCTCCTCCCTCCTCCCTCCTCCCTCCTCTCCTCCTCCTCCTCCTCCTCCTCCTCCTCCTCCTCCTCCTCCTCCTCCTCCTCCCTCCTCCTCCTCCTCCTCCTCCTCCTCCTGCCTCCTCTCCCCCTCCTGCGGTGCAGGGGGCGAGGAAGCGAAGGCGGAGGATGCAGCAGCACGCGCAGGAGCGGTGTGGCGCAAAGGACAGCACGGCACTCGCACTGACGGCGAACAGCAGCAGCATCACAGCGAGCACCAGGGCTGCGATCACCAGTGGGGGCTCGCAGCCGCACGGGCGCAGAGAGCGGCACCACAGCGACCCAAACGACGACGATGACGACCACTTCGGCCAACGCTACCCGCAGGCTGTCCCTGTCGAGGGCCATGTTGCCGCCCTTTTTCTTCGCTCCTAGGTAGAAGGATAAGACCAGGAGACAACGAGGAGAATGAGGAGGAGGAGGACCAGGATGAAGATAGGATCAACCAAGCTGCAATACGCCCTCCCGTCCCGTGTCCTCTCTGCAGAAGTGCCTGCAGGCAGTTCTCTTCATTGCGGGAAGCGCCCGCCCATAAGTGCAAGGCACCGGGTGGGCCTGCCACTCAGGCTGGACACCTTACTGTTCAGGATGCACCCTCCATCTTTCTAGCGAGCGACATCGCAGAGGTAAGGAATCGCCCAGCGATCGCCCCGATTTGAAAACGGATCGTCCCCCCACCATCTGTGTAATGTGTCCAAGTGTGTTCTACTTCCAAGATCTCACCCCTCGGACCACCAATCTCTCTGAGAGTTACGCTCGGGTCGTAGAATTTGAAGATGCCTCAAGCGAGAACCGCTTTTTCCCCAAACAGCTTGCTGAATGGGGTGCTGTTGTGATAGAAGCTAACTCCGGCCGAGGGAAATCAAAGCAGAGACGTCCTCGAAACAATTTGATGGTCCGGGCCGTTTCGACTGAGACATCCTCGCAACTCTCGTTTCTGAGTTGTCCGAGATTGGGCGTTTCGCGTGAGACATCCTCCAAACTCTGAGTTCCCAGATGCCGCGCAAGAGGTGGTCTGGCCCGTTTCGCCTGAGACATCCTCGAAACTCTGAGCTCCCAGATGCCGCGCGAGAGGTGGTCCGGCCCGTTTCGCCTGAGACATATTCCAAACTCTGAGCTCCCAGATGCCGCGCGAGAGGTGGTCCGGCCCGTATCGCCTGAGACAGCCTCGCAACTCTGAGCTCCGAGATGCCCTGCGCGAGGTGGTCCAGCGCGTATCGCCTGAGACACTCTCGCAATTCTGAGTTTTGAGATGCCGCGCAAGAGGTTGTCCGGCACGTTTCGCTTGAGACATCCTCGGAAACTCTGGGCTCCGAGATGCCGCGCAAGAGGTGGTCCGGCCCGTTTCGCCTGAGACAGCCTCCAAACTCTGAGCTCTGAGATGCCCTGCGCGATGTGGTCTGGCCCATTTTGCATGAGACATCCTGGCAACTCTGCGCTCTCTGATGCCGCGCGAGAGGTGGTCCGGCCCCTTTCGCTTGAGACTTCCTCCAAACTCTGAGCCCCGAGATGCCGCCCAAGAGGTGGTCCGCTCCGGCCCGTTTCACTTGAGACATTTTTTCAATTTTTCATTCCGAGATGCCGCGCGCGAGGTGGTCCAGCCCGTTACGCTGGAGACATCCTGGCAACTCTGAGCTCTGAGATGCCGCGCGCGAGGTGGTCTGGCCCAATTCGCCTGAGACATCCTCGAAACTCTGAGCTCCCAGATGCCGCGCGAGAGGTGGTCCGGCCCGTTTAACTTGAGACATCCGCGCACTTTTGCATTCCGAGATGCCGCGCAAGAGGTGGTCCGGCCCGTCTCGCCTGAGACGTCCTCGAGACTCTGGGCTCTGAGATGCCCTGCGCGAGGTGGTCTGGCCCGTCTCGCCTGAGACATCCTCGCAACTCTGAGCTCTGAGATGCTGTGTGCAAGGTTGTCCGGCCCGTTCCGCACAAGACATGCTCGCAGCTCTGAGCTCCCAGATGCCGCGCAAGAGGTGGTCCAGCCTGGGGGCCACGAAGACCACATGTTACATATCCTCCATGGGGTTCTGGGAGCCCCAGGAGGCCCCAGAGAGCTCCAGGAGGCCGCAGGACGCCCAGGACAGGCCCCAGGGGTCCCCAGGAGATTCCCAGTAGATTCCCAGGAGGCCCCAGGAGGCCCCGTACCAGAACTTGTCAAGTTAATACACATCAGGTGTCGATTCGTTGATTTTTCTTGCTCTTGTGCCCCCCCCATTTTGGGGGGCCCAGACGGCCACATCTTAGATATCCCCTCCTGGGAGCCCCAAGAGGCTTCAGGAAGCCCCAGGTGGAGTCATGTGGAGTCCAGGAGGCCACAGGAGGCCCAGGAGGAAGCCCCAGGAGGTCCCCAGGAGGCCCCAGGAGGCCCCAGGAGGCCGCCGCAACTCGGAGCTCTCAGACGCCGCGCTCGAGGTGGTCCGGCCCGTTTCGCCTGAGACTTCCTCGCAGCACGTTTCTCCCGAGACATCGTCGCAACTCTGGGGTCCGAGATGCTGCGCGCGAGGTGGTCCAGCCCGTTACGCTGGAGACATCCTCGCAACTCTGGGCTCCGAGATGCCGTTCGGGATGAAGAGGAGGTGGAGGAGGAGGAGGAGGAGGAGGAGGAGGAGGAGGAGGAGAAGGAGAAGGAGAAGGAGATGCAAGGGAGAAGGAGGAGGATGATGGTGTGGATGAGGGAGTAGGCAGGAGGAGGAGCAGGAGGAGGAGGGGGAGGTTGAAGCAAGGGATTTTCAGGAGAGGACCTAACGGGAAGCGAGTGTGACGTGGACTTGTCAGAACGTGTGCAAGAGGTTGTCTGGCCCGTTTCGTTTGAGACATCCTTCCAATATTGAGTCCAAGATGTCGCTCGCGAGGTGGTCTGGACCGTTTCGCTTGAGCCATCCTCACAATGCGAAGCTCGACGATGTTGCGCGCGAGATGGTCTGGCCCGTTTTGCCTGAGACGTTTTGTAGCACAGGGGCTCCAATCACAACCTCTCTCATTCCTTCTCCCGCCTCCCTCTTCCCGCTTCCCGCCTGGCTCCTCTTCCCTCCTCCTCCCGCCTCCCGCCTCCCGCTGCTGCGCCTCTGCCTCCGCCTCCCCGTCCCCGCCGTCGTCGTTTCTGCCGCCTCAGCATCAGTCATGCGCGCCCTGTCTTCCCCCCTCCCCAGACATCCGACGTCACAATTTTTCTTTTGAGACGTGCGCCGCGTACCTCTCGATATCATCCCCAGGGGAACCATCACGACATGCCCCCCCCACTTCCGCGTCCTCCCACGTTTTCTCTTACAGTTGCTTCTGAGTTCACAGCATGGCGGTGGAACCTCTCACAGTGCCGACCCGACAGCTTACTCGTCGACCAGGTGCGAGATAGTACGACACCCTCTAGCGTGAGCTTCCTGATAGGCATGCGTCACACAAGTTTTCGTGTAACCATCTCATGTGCAAACATCATGTTATCATGTTCTGACATGCCATGCCGGCCCGCACTGGACGGGCACGCGATCGACCTTCGAAACCGCAGTGGGTTTAGAAACCCTGCTTGGGGATACTGCACTCCGGCTATTTTTTTCGAAAAAAAACAAGAAAAAAAGGCCTTCAAACATTGAAAGTGATGGAGGCTTCGAAAACGAATGCGCGCGGCGCTGAAGCGAGAACTGCATTTACAAAACCATTGTCCTTCCACCCTCGTCGTAGCTGGTCACTTTTACCACGAAGTGTCGCGGCTCCAAGGCGAGACCTGCGTTTGAACAGCATTCTGCGAAATTCGTGCAACGGAATGGGCGCGCGGTCAGGCGAGATCTGCATGATGAAAAAACCATGGGCGCCAAACATGTGCACGGCGCCCATGCGAGAGGTGGGAAGTCTCGAGCGAAACGCTGCGCCCTCCCCACCGGCACCTCTGGTGGTGCTGCGACGGCTTGTGGAATTTCAGGAATCGGGATATGTCGGGCCTGTCCCTCTACAGGGGGAATATTCAAAAATTGTCCAAACATTGTCTCGGGACGATTTTTGTTGATTGTTGATTATTGTTCGTATTTGTGGAGTATGTTTGATTTTTCGTTTTAAATCCCCCTGTATAGGGGACACGCCCGACCTAAGAATTGAGATGGAGGAGGATGGGTGGAATCCAGCAGGCACGTCAAACAATAAACCGGCCTGCCAGCAAGTGCCCACGGAAGTCTTCTTCCCCGAGGGCCCTTGAGGTGCACAAATGCGCTGAGGCACCCCAGGAAACTCAGAACTCGAGGACAGCTGTGCCCCTAGGTTTTTGTTGCAGCAAGACTTCTTACCGTCTGCGTTCACTGTAGGAATATACAGTGCGACAGTAGAATGGAGTGGGACAGAGCCGACAGAACCGCACAGAGCTCGGGTAACCGGAAGCGGATGGAAGATAATTCCACTGAGTTTTGTAGGCGGTGAGGTTGACACCCACGGTTGCCAACTGTCGAGCCCTGTTCGGGAACACAAGGCAGTGTGCGGAACGCGCTGTCCGTATTTGACTTGCTAGATGCGAGCGCGGAGATGGAGCAGAGGTGTGGAGGAAGTGGTGGGGAGCAAAAGCAGCAGGAGGAGGCGGAGGAGGAGGGGGTGAGGAGGAGGAGGAGGAGGAGGAAAATGGATGGAGGACAAAGAGTGCCCCAGGGGCGTCCCCGGGGGGACGCCTGTTCCTTCCCCTTCACTCATCCGCGGTGGGCCTCCCTCTCGGCCCTCCCTCCCGGGATGGCGCCCCGTCCGCGCGGCGGAGGAGCGGGCTGGGCGCCGGCGGCGGCAGCAACGGGGGCGGGCACGGCCGGCAGGGGGGTGCAGCGGCGGCGGGGGCAGCAGGGCAAAGGCTACGTGTGGCGGGCCGGGCACAGGGCCCCCGCGGCCGCGGGCGGGGCCGGCGGAACCATGACAGTGGCAGCCCACCCCGTCGGCCAGGGCAGCGAGGACCCCCCGTGGCCGACAGCTCGCAGCGACGAGAGGCGGCGCCACCCCCCGGCGGCGGCAAGGCGCCGAAGGCGCAGCCGAGGGCGAAGGCGGCGGCCCCCGAGATGAAGCGGAAGTCGGCGGCCGGCCGGGCGCAGCCGCCGTCGCCGCTGAAGGTGGCAGGGTCCCTCGCTCTCGGCTCCCAGGCGGGCGGCGCGGCGGCTGCGCCGAGGGCGTACGGCGGTGCCGCCAGGACGGGCGCGGGCAGGGCGCCCGCGGCGCCGCAGGCTGCCGAGGCACCTGGCGCTGCTACAGCAGATCAGAAGCCCCGCGCGGCGCCGCTGGCGGTCGCGGCGCCGCCCTCCGCCGTCCCGACGGTGGCGACCCCCGAGGTGCTTGACACCCTGATGGCGCCGCCTGGCGCGCTGGCGCTGCCTGTCCTGCCACTGCCGGCGCAGGCCGGCCGCGCGGTGCCCCCACCCGCGGCGAGGGGTCGCAAGCGAGCCTTCTCGAAGGAAATGACGCAGAGGGTGGTACGAGCGGCCCTGAAGAGACCTGCAGCGGCAGGGCTGCCCGAGAGCACGAGGTGCCCGTACGAAGCCCTCGTACGAGGCGCCGGCTCGAACGTCGAGCGGGCGCAGAGGTCGGTATTGCGCGCCTTCTTCGGTACGCAGAGCCGGGCGGACGGCTGCAAGGCCGTGGTTTCAGCCCTGCTGGCCGCGCTGCTGCTCGTGGTGACGGCCCCAGGAGTTCGTCCGGGGCGCGACGGCGGGCGGACTGAGCGGCCTCCCCGGGCCGGTCGCGCGCGCCCTGGCGGCGCGGGCGCAAGGTGGGACGCTGGCGGAGAGGGTCGACCGGATGCACTGCCACGGTGGGCACATGCGGCAGGATAGTTCGTACCAGGGCCTCAAGAGGCTGCTCGCTGGCCATCCGTGCCCTGATGCAGGATGATCGCCCTCGTCGTCGCCTTCAACGGCACGGCCTTCTGCGCTTCCTGCAGGAGGTTGGGGGCCCACCGCCAGCGTCAGTGGATGAGCTGGTCCGCCTGCTGAGGCGGGCATACGACAACCGTGCCCAGGCCTTCAGCATCCGACACCTGCCCCAGCGGGCGCTGCGGGGCCGGTCCTCCGGGTGCTCGCCGCGCCGCACTCGAGAGAAGGAACGCGGGGGTACATTCGCTTGTGCCTGCTGGGCGATGGCGCGTGGGCGCCGAGTGGTTCCCTGCACGCCTCGTCCGCCCTATTGCAGTGGGCTGAGGCTGCCACCAAGCAGGAGGCGAGGTGTCGAAAGGTGCAGCGTAGCCTCCCTGGCTGCGGAACACTCCTGGCCAAGAAGAACACTATCATTTGGGCTCACGCCGCGAATCTGACCCCGGTGCCGGAAGGCGAGAGGCGGACCGCCTTCCTGGCACCGGGATCGTCTGACCGATCCCCATCCCAATTGGGTCATGATATGTCGATGTGCCCTTTGTTCCGACGCGCGGCCTTCCGTCTTGGGGAAGGCGTCGCGGCCACCGAGGCGAACGCCCCCTCGGAAGCGGCGGGCTTGCCGTGGGAGATGCCGAGGGTCAATGGAGAGAGGGTGGTCTCAGCGTCGTCTGATCAATCCCCATCCCCACCTGAGTCCTAAGATCCCAGGGGGAGAGGATGATCTCAGCATCCCCACCAGCCCCCCACCCCAAGCTGGGGATATGTGGCGCGAAACCCGAGGGGAATAGCCGAAGGAGGCGGGAGAGGAGGCGCGAGATGGTGATGACTCGGCGGCTCAAAGATCCGGCCTTTAGAGATGGGGCCCGAAGGGTAGGAAGGGCTCCAAGGTTGAATTTGCATTGAACGTCTGAGGCACCGCACCCTTAGGCCCGGATCCTTCAGGACTCCATCCTTGAAGCCTCGAATGATGAGAACGTTGCTGGGGGTCGCTGGAGGTCTCTGGAGGTTCCCGGGATGTTCCAGAGGCCGCCGAAGGCTCCAGGAGGCCGCAGGAGAGCCACCGCACACCCAAGACGTGCATCTTCGACAGGACGCCGAAGAAGAGGAGGATGCCCACGACGAGGAGGAGGAGGCGGCGGAGGAGAACGAGGAGCAGGAGGAGGAGGAAGAGGAGGATGGATGGATGGATGGATGGACCCGGCATTGCGCTGTGAGTCTGAAGACACTCGCCCCTCGAGCTCACGAAACGAGAGATCGCTCGGGGACACCTCTGAACAGTCGTGCGATCTCCTCGGACCGAACGAGGTCAGGCGCGTGGGCGCGCCGTGCAGCTGTGATCACCATTGATCCGAGCCGAGCAGGACAGGAAACAGTAAAACGCCCGCGGGCGGGGGGTGATACCCCTCTGGCCCCATGGGGGCCGAGCTCGACGGCGCGGAGAGCACCGAGCTGGCTCCCTGGACACCCCAGAGGCCCCGAGAAGGAAAAAAAGAAACCAGGCCGAAGAAAAGGGCCGACGGCGCGCCCTAGAGACCAGGGGCGGCGAGAGCGACTAGAGGGGCCTGGTGCTACAGCGAAGCTGCTGGACTCACGTCGTCACGTAGTGTGCTGGTCGCCCATCTCTTTCCGTAGGATCCGCCGCCCGTGTCAGCCCTTCTGGCCGTAGTGGATCTGGCGGTTCTTGTCTGGCAGTTTCTGGGCCATCGATTCCAGGTGGCCCGTCCCCATCTTCTGGCGGCCGCCCAGAACGTCGAGACAAGTCTCCCGAGGGCCGTCTGGGTTGACGCTCTTCAGTGTGATCTGGTCCGCGCTAGCGAGCTGCATCCTGGTGTACTGGTCATTGCGGCGCGTGCGCGGCCTGAGGTGGAAAAGAGCTCCGAGCCCGTCTCCGTGCAAACGAACTGCTGGTGGAAGGTGCGCGGGAGCCCGTGCCCCTGCGGGGCCTCAGGCCGACGGGTGCTTGAACTCGGCGTGAGCGAGGTGCAAATGTGGTGAGTTGGGGCTTCGCCTCGGGGAACTGCGCCGCCTCTGCGTGCATCTTGCCCGCTTCCCGAGCTGCGACGATCGAGGTAGCCGTGGGCGTGGTCACGATGCTGATCCATTCCGAGTCCGCTAGGTCCCTGAGCAACTGGGCGTGCAGGCGCACCATCTTGGGGAGGAACGTGACCGCCTGCTGCAGGTCGCGCGACTTCAGGGCGCCCTCCAGACGAAGCATGATCGTGTCGTAGTCCCAGGTGCGCAGCGCGTGGGCCTCGAAGATGTCGCCCGCGTAGACAGAGCGGTGGTCTCGATCGTACAGTATGTTGAGGCGGCGTCCTGCTCCCATGGGGGCCTTGCACTGGCGTGCGTGGGACTCCGGGGCGGACGGGGCGTAGAAGAAGTCGATCCTGCGTGATCGTCCGTGCGTCCCTATGCAGGTGCCCCCGCTGACAAAGAAGGTGTCGTGGTCCGAGAGGAACCGTTGCCAAAGACGTCCAAAGAGGCCCTCCAGCTCCAGGAAGGTGCCCACGGCGCTGTCGACCTCGCTCCACGAGTCGGGCGCGAGCAGGGACGAGGAGCCGAGAAACGTCTCGTCCACGGAGTCGCCGAGCTGAGGTCCGCCCCGCTGAAGGGCGTGCGACGACTGCCCACAGACTCCATCATGGTGCGTGCCCACGAGGTCATAGCCTGGGTCACCTGGCGGTATGAGTAGGACTCGGATGGCACGGAAGGGTGCCGAACCATGAGGAGCACGTCCGAGGAGCGGCGCTGTCGCGCCGCAGCGGCCCGAGAGCGCCGCGGGCGGAGGGTAGATCAGACGTAGGTGTGCCGGCAGAAACCGCTGATGTAGGAAGGTGCGCCCCCCGAAGCTCTCCTTGGTCCAGCCGAAGGAGAGCTCCCCGTGGTAGTCGCGCTGAAAGAGGCCGTGGCGGCCGTCCGAAGTCGGGCGGCGGCTCATCCCAGGGAAGAGGATCTCGCCCATGTAGTGCTCGCGGGTGATCTCCTGCGCGCGGGTGCTGCCCGTCAGGTAGAGAGGGATGTACTCGTAGATCCTGTTGTGATGAGCAGGTTGCGGCTCTCGCTCCTGAGTGCGTCCAAGGGCGCGGCAAGCGCCTGTCGACGCGCGGGCGGCAGCCCGCGGCGAGAAGCCGACTGCCGCGAGCAAGAGGAGAGCCGCCATCATGGGCCTCTTGGGCCCCGCGGGCGAGTGGGCATCGCGCGCTGCTCCCCTGGCGGGCGATGAACAGGGTGGGAGGGCCGCGTGCCCCGCGCCCTTCAGCCGTGGCGGCGGCTGGAAGAGGAGGAGGAGGAGGAGGGGGGGGAGGGGGGGGGGGAGGGGGGAGGCAAGGTAAGGTAAGGCGCTTCGGACGGCTTCCTTCCTGCTCTAGCTCGAGCGCCAGACGCGCTCGGGCTATGCTTTGCATGGCCATCAGCGTGAGATATGGAGCGGGGGGCCTCTGCTCCTGATGAGGCCTGCCCATGCGACCTCCGCCCGAGTACCTCGGGGGGGGGGTGGTAAGACCGCGCCGGGGCTCCTGCCCGCCTCTAGTCGACCGATCTGCGCCGCACTCCCTGCCTGATCCCGATGGGGGGCGCTCTGGCCCTCCAAGAGAATCGGGGCGGTCGTGCTTTGCATATCCGTCCATTACTCTCGCGGAGGCGGCTGCTGCCGGCCCCGCTGGCGAACAGCTGCCGCGAGGGGCACTGGTCAGGCTCTCTCGCGCGAGCGAGGGGGGGGGGGAGGCGAGGGGCGACTCGCGAGGAGGAAAGCAGAGGGGACGAAGCGGACAGAAGCGATGACCTCTCGTGATGCCAGCTCTGAATGCAGGCCCAGCCAGCGTTAAAACTGTTAAAGCAGTTTTCCGTCTGATCGACCCAGAAGCAGCGGGCATCGAGGAACAAGCCGGTCTTAAGTAACATTTCCTCGGCGCGCGCCTGGAGGGCGGAACTAGACAGACAGGGCGGCCGCGAGCTAGCTACTCATCTGAGGCCGAGCTCTTCGACGTAGTTGATCTCGTCGGGCCACGGGCCGACGAGCGATTCGTCCTCTGTCTGGATCTGGTTGAGGCCGTACCTCAGGCTCATCACTGCACTCGCGAGGATCAGTCGCTGGCTCGTCAGCTTCCTGATGACTTCCTGGCGCTCTAGCATTTCCTCCTGTTCCATGACCACTGGAGCCGATGGCCTCTCGAGCGACAGGTTTATGAGCGTCTGCTGCCTTATGATCGCTGATATGATGCCATTCAGCGGGTCGATCAGCTCGTCGAGCACTGGCCTCGTATACCTCAGCCTGCTGTTGCCTGTCATCAGGCGGCCACTGGCGCTGTTGTAGCGGATGTCGATGTGCGCGAGGTGCGCTGGTGGCGCTGGTGGTGGCCCGCGCTCTTGTGGCGGCATCACTCTGGTTGAGGTGAGGTGGCAAAGGAACCGAGGGGAGGCGAGCTCGCACTTCTGAACCAAAAATTGGCTGAGTACCGTCTGCGTAGTAGGAAGAATAGAGAGAACTTCTGCTGTTGTGGTTTGAGAATGGGCTCCTGCTTTCACATCTGTTGTCCGATCCCAGTAGTTTAGAACGTAGGTAGATCATAGCTTCGTAGGAGCAAGCACACGTGTTACTTCACAGCTGTTGTCTGATCCGAATAATTTGGAAGATCGCAACTTCGCATAAGCAAGCGCACATGTCTCGTCACATCAGCATGCCGTGGGAGATGCGGTGGTAGGTCGGAGTGGGAATGAGAGATGTAGTTGTAACAACTTCTCAGAGGCCGTGAAACATCCTATACAATGTCTTAAGGGTCAGCTCGCTGATCCGAGGGGGGCTCTAGAGGTCTGCTGAGGCCTGGTGGGGGGCCCAGTTCGGCAATCCTTCTTCGCCTGTCTCGGTAGCTTGTAGCAAGAGAATACAATTCTTGGAAGTGAGGACTGATCGTGCGCTGTCTTGTGAGCGCTCCATATCTCCTGGGGTCCATGCTTATTTCGTTTGCTATCTTTTCCCTCTCTGAGCGAGGCGGCCACGCTGCCTCGCGAGCACCTGCGGGGGCGCGCGCGCGGAGGAGGGAGGGCGGACCGATGGCTACCTGCGTCGGTGCCTCTGTCGGTGCCGGTTGCACTCCGCTTGGTGTTCCCGTCGTAGTCACTGGCGAACCCTGGTGTTCCTGCGCAGCTGCGCCTCGGCTCGCTCGAGGGCGGTCTCCGGTCCCGCTCCTGTCGATTTGGTGCCGTTGCAGCAGAGGAGCGCCGTGGTCATCGCTTCCTTGAGCTTGATGGGGCTGTAGTTCCTGGCGGCCAGGAGCACCTGCTCTCCAGGCTCGTTCTTCTGCAAGATGGCCGCGATCGTGGGCTGGGGCGCCAAGGTGTAGTGCATCTTGCCCATCCGCTCCGTCTCGTCTAGGTCCTCCTTCTTGTAGGTCTCACCGACCTTGAAAGTGAGGATGGTCTCCTGCGCGATGAGGGGTCCGAGAGCGTGGTTCGTCGCCTCGACGTACTCCTGCAGGATGGTTTTCGCCGCTTTCTCTGTCTCGCTCCCTTGTTCGCCGTCGAGGGACTCCCACATCCCCCTGATGGCTGCCACTGCCACGTGGGCGCGAGGCGGGCCCAGGCCATGCTTCTTCCCTGCTTTGCGCACTTCTTGTCCGTATGTGCGGGCCGCTGCGATCGCTTCCTTGAATGGTGGGCTGGCTGCTGGAATGAACCAGAAGTCCGTCGTCGTGTGGTACAGTTCCCTGATGTCTTGGCTGTTCCGCAAGCTCAGCTTCTGGATCGTGGTGAGCTTGTCGTCGTAGCCCTCGTTCTCGAAGCCTAAGTCGTCCCCAGCAGGTGCGCGGCCGCCTCCTGAGCCACTGGCTGCTCCGCCCTTGCCCGTGCTGCCCTTGCCCTTCTTGGCGGCTCCCGCGGCTCCTGTGGCTTGGGGTCCTCGCTTTGCGACCTGCCACTCCGCTGGTGCGGGGAGCGCCATCGTGGGCTGGGCGAAGATCAGCTGGTCCAGGGTGGTGGGATCTGAGGTGTTGCTGAAGAGAGGGTAGCTCTTGAGCCTCATGTCCACAGATAGCACATGTGAGCGTGTCAGGGATGATGACCTCGTGGGCCCACTTGCTACGATCTTCGTAGCACGTGCCGTGTTTCTCTGTAGCCCTCTTCGCATGGTCCAACGCCGTGATCCGATTGCTGAAAGAACTGAGGCACCAAGGGCACTGGTGTGTAACGATAAGCTTTGAGAACAGGGTGTGTGTTTTGTGGACTCCTCGTTTGTGCGCACCTAGCCCTTGTGAGGTAACAAACCGCGCAGCACAAGTATATTGCACTCCGTTGTCGTCAACGCACACATGATCGCACCAGTACGGTTTAGTGATGTGCTCCTCCCCCTCCTTCTCATTCACCTCCTCCGATGCATCGTTCCAATGCGTCGCTGCACTGCGCAATATGGCGGGGTCGAGGTTGATCCGCTGATGCCATTCCTCCGTCCCCCATATTAAGATGTGTAGGTCGGACCTCCTCCTTTCCCACCATCCCCTCATGTTTTCATCTGTTTGCACTAGTTGTTCGAGGTCTTCGAGGTATTGTTTGGCCATTGGGGTCGATTCGTTACCAATCCAGTTGCCGTTCAGTAGTCTAGCTTTGTTGTGTAGTCGGTCCATCGTAGAGTCGCCAAAGATTGCCGCAACCACATTGGCATGTTCTGCTGGATACAGTGCCCATTGTGGGTACCACTTGAGCCTGCGAATGCGTAATTCAACTGCCGATTTTTCTAACCTCCACCATTTAAACACCTGTTTTGTACTTTTGCACCTTGTGTCGCCTGCTTCTGTAGTCCAGGACATTGCTCCTCTGGCGAGAGTACGTAGATATTTCCCAAATAACGCGTCCAGTGCATTGGTGCTGGCTGCTGGTAAGACGAGGGCCGTGAGGCCGCTAAGGCCGGCTCCGAATACAAATGCCGTGAACATCATCCCTTTAACTGCAAGGGCTGTTTTTGACGACCAAAAAGTTCCTCCTTGCCTCCATGCAAGGCGTATGGCAGCGCATCTCCTTTGTATTTCGCTTGAGAGCCCTTGGTCGGGCGGGAGGTATGGTCCTAACACGCGCATCTCTCTGAGAGGTAACCCCTTTATTTCTTTGCTCCTTCTTATCTTCCTCGTGCTCGCGTGGCTGCCTCGGCCTCGTAAGCTGAGGAGGTGGTTAGTTTTTCCAGCGTTCAGTTTCCAGCCGCCTTTGGCAATAGTTTGTTCCAGCGCTGCCGTCGTCCCATTGAGGTGCCCCACTATGGTTGTAGCACTTGCTGCTGGTGGCATTGTATGGGTTTTGGTGATATCATCCATGAATGTACTGAGGTCCAGGTCGCACACTTTGCCAGTGATAGGGTGCGGCGTATCATGCAGTCGTTGTCGCGGGTCTTGTCGCTCCTGGGTATTCCATTTGTCCACGTAGATGTTGTATCCATCGTTGAATTGTCTTGGCGCCGGGGTAAATCCCATCTGTGACCCAGTAGTTGTTGCCATTGTCGTTTCCCCTTCTGCTGTATCCATGGTGAGGGTCGTGTAACCGATCGCATTCACCGCATGTGGCTTGTCCCATTTGTCGGCTTGTTTAAAAGCAACTGCCTGCAGTTGAGACTTGTGTGTGCTGGCGAAAGCGTTGGAGCAATCGTAGTTGGTAAACACAGTGCTATATCCAAGCTGTTCTGCCTTCCACTTTGTCGTCATAATAGTAGCGATCGAGTTTTCTCTGCACCTATGGGGGAGTCCTCCTTGGGCCCAGGGGGGGTGCTGCTGGGGCTCTCCTCTTCTGTGGGTCCCTGCGAACCAAGACATGCCCGTACTGCAGTATGCATGCATCACTCTTTTTCCCTGGATACCATCCTTCCCGTTCCCCTTGTCTGCATCAAATGCCTTGGATCGGTGCCAGTCCAGGGGTGTAGTCTGCGTCGTGCGGCATTTCACAAGCACCTCAGTGAGTCTGTCGTGGAATAACCTATTTCTGCCGTCTGCCGCCACTTCAGTACCTAGTCCTGCGTACTGTCCCCTTCCAACTGCGTAGTTCACCACATCGTTTTCTTGCATAACCATGCCCTCTCTAACACCTAGCCGTCCTCCATCCCATCCCATGTTTGCTAACAATTGCCGTCCTCTTCGAAAACTGTATGCTGAACTCAGCTTCTCCAGCTCCTCTTCGTCGTTCCTTTTCTCAGCCTCTCTGATTGCTCTAGCTTCTCTACGCTTGCTAAGTTCGTCTGGGCTGCTGAGGTTGATCTTCGGGTCGAGTAAGAGCAGAGTGGCTTCTACTGGCAATCCCCATTCTGGCCACGCTCTCCTCTTTCCTGCTCTCTTGCTGTACTGCAACATGCTCCTCCTGTCCTGGGCTACCCTCGCCATAAGGTCGTGATCGCATGGTAGTGGCATCTGGTCGGCATAGTACTCCTCATGCTCCTGTAGTTGTTGCTGCAGCGAGATCGGGACAGCTCCTAATCCACCCTGGGAGGGGTCCTTACTTAGCTCCTGTTCCCACTTGTTGTTATCCCAGTGTGTCTTGGGTGAGAAGTAGTACCTCTTTTTTGGTCCTCTGCCGTTCATCTGGTACTGGATTCGCAGCCGGTGCATTTCTGCAAAGTCGCTCCTCTCGTGTGCCTCCCAGATCTCCTCCACTAGCCTCTTCTTCCTCTGCTTCTCGTGCGCTTCCCTGATCTGCTTCAATACTGCCGTGACCTCCTTCAGCTGCTCTCTGATGCTCTCCTGCTCCTCGTCTGTTACCTCTGGACCTAGCTTGGCTCTGATGTCTCTTCGTCTGCTCAGTAGTTGTTGCCTGTGTTGCTTGAGGAATTGCGTCGAGGCGTCTGGCTGCTGCTGTGTCTGCCCGAAGGTTTGTCCTAGTGCTGTCCTGACTGCTGTGGAGTAGAGGTGCCAAGAGCGATCAGGCGTCGGTGCTGCAATTGCTTCCTCCCAGTCCTCCGTACTTATTGCGCCTAGCTCTTGATATACTGCTCGTAGCCACTCCTCTCTCTTCCTGCCCTTCCTCACGCAAGCCATAAGTGCATCCCTGTCCAAGCGTAGTCGTGGTGGTGGCCGCGGCCGTGCGAAGTGCCTCGCGTTCGGGTCGAGGATGAGTCCGACTGGTACGTGGTCTCGAAGTCCTCTGGACCTGATGGTCTGCAGGCGCTTCCCTGCCGTGTGGAGGGCCAAACAACGCTTAACTAGGTGCAGGGCTCCTGCTGGGATCGCTATATGGTCGATTCGCGTGTTTCCCCCTTGCGTGCCGTAGTAGGTGGGCCCTATATCGTACCTAGTAGCAACTACAGAAAATGTGCTGCTAGTGCAGAGTTCTCTGAACATTTTCCCGTTCTCGTTTTCCAGCCTTCGCTCGATCCCCCCAACACAACTGTCCATACTCGCCTGCACTATGCCGTCCGAGTCGCGGTGCAGTCCCAAGTCACTGTTGAGGTCCCCTCCTACCACTATCATTGTCCTGACTCCTAGCGCGTCCGTGGTGTGCTCTATCCAGCTCGTCACTCTCTTGCCAATCTCGACGTAGTTCTTGAGGTGGGTGGGGGCGTAGTAGACTGGGAAAAATGCGTAGTCTTGCCCTGGGGTGTGCAATTTAATGCCTGCTACTCGTCCCTGGAGCTGCGTTGGTGGATGATAGATAGCTCTGAGGCTGGTCTGCGGGATCAGCCTGCTAATTAGAATAGTAATTCCGCACGCTTTCGTGATAAATCTTCCCTTGCGTGCACCAAATCGCAAACACCAGTGGTTTGGGAGTAGGGCTTTTTTTACTGGTTCTAGTCCACACCATTCGGCACTGCCGCAGATCATAATGATGTCCCACTGTTTGAGTTCCAAGCTGATGTCTGTAAGTCTCTCGATTGTCCCCGCTGACAGTGGGTTGTACACAGCAATGCGCATGAAGGCAGAGCGGTATGCGGGTGCCCCCCCCTCACCTGGCCATCTCGGTTGGGAGGCGTAGTCGTGTAAAGGTGTAAAAATGGGTGCTTTCGGTAAGTCGATCGCTCCCCCTTAACCCCTTAAGCCGACTGAGGGGGGGAGGAGGAGGATGAGGAGGAGAAGGATCGAGGATCGAGGATCCAGGATGGAAGATCGATGAGGAGGAAAAGTAGAAGGATCAGCAGAAGGCCATCAGCCACGTCGCCATGCGCGAGCAGCACTACTCGGGAGGCAGCAACGTCTTCACCGAGGGGCTCCCGGCCCACCACATGTTCTTCGTCGCCCAGGGGGACCTAGAATACTACGCTGTGAAGCTGAACATGGAGGCCAGGACGCCTCTCTCAGGAGCGGAAAAAGGACGTACATGTACATGAATCCACGCTGGTTTCGAGAGTTCGCATTGCGCAAATGTTCGTATAACGCGGCCGGTCTCGCGGATCGAGGGGCCGTGTTCATGTACATACCTGGGCGCGTACATCCTTTGTGGGCTCCCTACTCTCCTGCTCTTCCTTCTGCTTTTGCTCTTCCCCCCCTCTTCCCTTCCGCGACCCCCTTACTGCTTCGCCTCTTCGTTCTCACTTTCCTGTTCCCTCCTCCCCCTCCTCCTCCTCCCCCTCCTCCTCCTCCTCCTCCTCCTCCTCCTCCTCCTCCTCCACCCCTAGTCCTGTAAAGCACCCGTCCTCGCCGCACCACCAGACGTATCGTTATGGCGGGCCGAGCGTTTCGCCAGAGTTAGTGCAACGTGCGTGGTCATGACGCTTCGGAGTTTCAGCAGTTCCACACGGCTATAGGGGCAATAGGGTTCAAAAAGCAGTTCTCGCCTCAGCGCCACACGCGTTTGTCTAACATGCTTCCAGCAGCGGCACTGATGGATGGGGAATGGTTCAAAACGTGGTGGGTCTGGCCTCAGCGCCGTTCACTTTCGCATTACAACCTCTCAGCATGTTTAATAATATACATATAACGGCGCACCGGGTCCGGGGGCCCGGGGCCGGGACCCCGACCGCAAATGTGGGCCCCGGGGGGCCCAGAGGCTCGTCGGACCGCCGGACGCCGTCCAAGATCGTTCGCAGGCGGCTTCGGAACGCGCTCCGATGGCTCCAGATGCCTTCCAAGACGCCTGTCATGACACCAAGAAGGTCCCAGAAGCCTCCAAGACGCTCCGAGAGGCAGCCCAAGAGAGGCCCAAGAAGCAAAAATCGTGCCATCCCTATGGGAAAATGTATATTTTTCGCATGTTCGCCTCTTGGGCTTTCACCGCGTCCAAGACGGCCCAAGAGGCGCCCAAGACGGTCTACGAGGCCTCCGGGAGCGCTCCAAGGCTGCGCACGAGTGGCCCAGGACGGCCCCAAGACGGCCCAAGAGAGCCCCAAGACGAGTTCGAGAGGGGTCCCAGACGGAGAAAGCCAACCTCGAATTCCGAGCTTCCGGCCCAAGAGGCTCCAGGAGGCGCCAAGATGCCGCCAAGAGGCGCCAAAAGGCTCCCAAATGCACCCCAAGACGTTCCGAGAGGCACCCCAAGAGAGGTCCAAGAAACAAAAATCGTGCCATTCCTATGGGAAAACGTATATTTTTCGCATGTTCGCACTTTGGGCTTTCACCGCGTCCACGACGGCCCAAGAGGCCTCCAAGACGGCCTAGGAGGCCTCCGGGAGCGCTCCAAGGCTGCGCACGAGTGGCTCAGGACGGCCCCAAGACGGCCCAAGAGAACCCCAAGACGACTTCGAGAGGGGTCTCAGAAGGAGAGAACCACTCTCGAATTCCGAGCTTCCAGCCCAACACATCCCAGGAGGCGCCAAAACGCCGCCCAAAGGCGCCAAAAGGCTTCCAAACTCAGCCCAAGACGTTCCGAGAGGCACCCCAAGAGAGGTCCAAGAAGCAAAAATGGTCCCATTCCTGTGGAAAGCGTATACTTATCGCATGGTCGCCTGTTGGGTTTTCACCGCGTCCAACACGTCCGAAGAGGCTCCCAAGACGGCCTAGGTGGCCCCCAAGAGAGTTCCAAGACGGTTCACGAGGCGCCCAGGACGGCAAAATCGGACTCCAAAATGGCCTAAGAGAGCCCCAAGGCGTGCCCGAGAGGGGTCCCAGAGGGAGAAAGCCACTGTAGAATTCCAAGCTTTCGGCCTCAAGAGGCTCCAGGAGGCGCCAAGAGAGCTCCAAGAAGCCCCCACGAGAGACCCAGGACGCCCCAAGAGGCTCCAAAGGCGGCCCAAGAGAGCCCCAAGATGGGCCCGAGAGGGGTTCCACGCAAGTTGTTATTGTATCGCTCGGGAAAAGACGAGGATGAGGAGGAAGACGAGGAGGAAGACGAGGAGGAAGACGAGGAGGAGGAGGAGGAGGAGGAGGAGGAGGAGGAGGAGGAGGAGGAGGAGGAGGAGGAGGAGGAGAGGGAGGAGGAGGAAGAGGACTCGACAGAACCTAAGCGCGCGAAGCGCGCGCGTGGTTCTAGTGGGATGTGTTGGTGTTTCCTTGTTGCATCGCCTCAGCACCGCGCACATTCGTAGAATGTTCCAAACAGCTACGCGGATGGAGGGCGCGTGTTGTTCATATCGCCCCAGTGCCGTGCATATGGTTGTTACTTTCAAGCGCTGCGTATCGAAGACGCCTACGGCGAATCACCGCCGCCCCCTGCCTTTTCGGAAACGCCGATGTGGCCGAAAGTTGGGCTAGAGCTTGGCCACGCTATCGGACCATGAGTTCCCCGAGTCGGTTTGGAAAGCTTTCGGGGAACATGTGGGGGAGAATGAACACGAAGAGGAAGAGGAAGAGGAAGAGTAGGAGGAGGAGTCTTCTTGGGAGCCTCTTGGGGCAGTCTTGGGTTCTGCTGGGAGCTTCCTGGAGGCCTCTTGGAGGCATCTTAGGGGCCTCCTTGGGCCTGCTGGGGGCTTTGGGGGGCTTCTTGGGGGCCTCTGTGGTAGTCTTGGGGCGTTCCTGACCCGTCTGACGCCGTCGGAAGCCGTCTTGAGGGCCTCTCTGAACCGACTGGGGGCCCTCTTGGGGCGCCTCAGGGCAGTCTTGGAGACCATCTTGGCCGTCTTGAGGGCCTCTAGGGCCGTCTTGGGGCCTCTTTGGCGCCCTCTTGGAGGCCTCTTGGGCTGTCATGGGGCCATCTTGGAGGGCCTTTCGGCGCTCTTGGGGCGATGTTTGGGGCATCTTGGTCCGTCTTGGGCCGTCGGAGAGCTGAAGAGAAGAAGATGCAACGATCCTTCCATAACCTAATGACAATCAATGAGTTGGGCACGTTCGGGCCTTCCTGGAGGACGTCTTGGAGGTCTCTTGGGCCGTCTTGGGGGTCTCTTGGGCCGTATTGGGCCATCTTGAGGCCATCCTGGGGGCATCTTAGGCCGTCTTGGATACATCTTGGGGCCATCTTGGGCTCTCTTGGGGCCATCTTCTCCGTCTTGGGCGCATTTGGAGGCCATCTTGGGTCATCTTGGCCGTCTTGGAGGCGGCGCTGTGCAGAGTTCTGGTCGTCTTCGGTACGGTGGCGGGACGGGTCGAAGCCCCAGTGGGAGTCCGCCGCCCCCTGCTTGCAGGGGTGCACGGCGTGCTGGATGTTTCAGGTTTTGGTTTTGGTTCTTTTTCTAAAAGAACTCCCCAGTGGGCTCCGGCAGAACCCGCCGGCCACCCGGAAAATCCCCAAACGTGCTCAACGACCGCAAAAAATCCTCCAAAAACGGCCGTTTCGCTCGGGACATCCTCAAAAAATCGCGAAGATGGCCCAAGATGGCCTCCAAGTCCGCCCGAGATGGTCCAAGACGGCCTCCAAAACGGCCCAAGAGAGTCCAAGACGGCCCAAGACGGCCCAAGAGGCCCCCCAGAGGCCTCCCAGACGGCCCAAGAGGCCTCCAAGAGGTCCTCCAGGAGAGTCCGAAGAGGCCAAAATCATTGATTTTCCATGGTTTTTGAAGGATTTTGGCATTTGCGCCTTTTCGGCTCTCCGACGGCTCAAGACGGCCCAAGAAGCCCCCAAGATCGCCCAAGAGGCCCCCAAGAGAGCCCCCTGATGGCCCAAGTGGCCTCCAAGATGGCCCCTAGAGGGCCCCAAGACGGCCCAAGAGGCCTCCAACACGCCCAAGATGGCCTCCAAGACGCCCAAGATGGCCTCCAAGACGGCCCTGGAGCGCCCCAAGAGGGTCCCCCGTTGGCCCAGAAAGGCCCCCAAAACGGCTCCCGACGGCGTCAGACGTGCCAGGAACCCACCAAGATGGCCGAAGTTGGCTCGAAGCTGGCCCAAAAGGGCCCAAGAGGCCCCCAAGAGGGCCTCCAGGAAGGCCAAAAGATGCCAAAATCACTGATTTTCCCAAGGTTTTTGATGGATTTGGGCATTTCCCTTTTTCGGCCTTCCGACGGCCCGAGACGGCCCAAGAGCCCCCAAAGATCGCCGAAAGATCGCCCAAGAGGCCTCCAAGACGGCGACGATGACCATCAAGACGCCCATGTGTTCCCCGGAGGCTTTCCAAACCGATTCGGGGAACACATGGTCCGATGGCTTGGCAGGTCTGGCCTCAACGTTCGGCCACATAGGCGCTTCCACAAAGGCAGGGGGCGGCGGTGATTCGCCGTAGGCGTCTTCGATAGCACGCCAGGAACCCCTGTGATCAGTGAACAGGGGGCGGCGGACCGAACACGCCTAATTACGGCGAATCCCCGCCGCCCCCTGCCCTTTCGGAAGCGCCTATGTGGCCGAACGTTGTGGCCAGAGGCCTGCCAAGCTATCGGACCATGTGTTCTCCGAGTCGGTTTGGAAAGCGTTCGGGGAATACATTGGGGAAGGAGGAATGGTAGGAGAGGGATGAAGAAAGAGAAGGGAAGAAGAGGCCTCTAGGGTGCCGCTTGGGCGACTCTCGGGCTCTATTGGGCCATTTTTGCGGTATTGGATGCATGTTGGGACTGTCTTAGAAGCCATGTTGGGGCTACATTGGGGCTTCTTGGGGCCATCTGGATCATCTTGGGCCACAGCTCGGCCCATGTGGCCGAGCGTTGTGGCAAAAGCTCTGCCAAGGTATCGGGCCATGTGTTCCCCCAGCCGTTGTGGAAACCCTTCGGGGAACACTTGGGGGAGGATTGCGGGGAAGATCAAGAGGATGCGGAGAAGGAGGCGGAGGAGGAGGAGGAGGAGGAGGAGGGGGCATCTTGGGAGCCTTTGGGGACACTCTTGGGGCCTCCTGGGAGCTTCCTGGAAGCCTCTTGGATCTTTTGGCCGTCTTGGTGGGCTCTTTGGCCGTCTTGGGGGCTTCTCGGGGGCCTCTTTGGCTGTCTTGGTGGGCTCCTGGCCCGTCTGACACCGTCGGAAGCCGTCTTGGGGGCCTCTCTGGGCCGT